CATAACTTTTACTTGGGAGGATTATTTTACTTGTCTCATCTTCAATAGCACAACTTATTTTCTTGAGCTTTACTTCATACCCTGAATCGCATAACTGACTTATACTCAGAAGATTGTAGTTAAGTCCGTGAACAAGATAAACCTCAGTGATATCACAGTTATTATTGAAAGGAACTGTTCCGGTACCGACTATTTTTCCTTTTGAATCATCACCAAACTTGACACTTCCTCTGTCTATTTTTGTAACTTTCTTAAACAGGTTTTTGTCACCTGTTATGTGACTGGAACACGCACTATCTAAGTACCATTTTCCTTTGCGACTCCTTCTGTGGTGTTCCTGCAAAACATAGTTATCACTTTCTTTTAGGTACCCAAGCTTGCTTGGGTCCTGGTTGGTTAGTATTACTTGACTTAGGATTGTTTTTGGGTTTCCAAATCCACCCTGAGACATTTATTTTGCGAAATCCACAAAAGGAATGTTTATGTCCACTTTTATTACAGTAGTGACACGTAACTCCTGATCTATTTTTGGATCTTTCATTTTTTTTAGTACTAGCGGACTCTGTTCTGGCTGGTCCTCTCCAGCTGACTTGTAAGTTGCCTGGTTCGACTTGAAAGAACTATGACTGGTGGATTTGCGCATGCCATTGAGTTGTATTTGCAATTCCTCAATCTCTTCTTGAAGTACTTCATTTTCAATTTCACATACTTCAAGCTTGAGTTTCCAGTCTTTTACTTCTTTGTTGAGTCTCTTTAGTTCATTCATCATTTTTTGAGACTCTTTCAAAGTAAGGTCAAGAATATCCTGCAATTCATTATATCTTTCACATTTATAAGATCTTACCTCGCTTGTTTCACCTAGTGCCATGAAACAGTTCTCATTGTCATCTTTGCATTCATCATCTGAAGTGTCCTCATCTGTCCAACACCTTATGAATTTATTCATGTCGTTTTCTAGAATTGTCATGAAGCAAAGGTTTGCTATCTCTTCGTGTTCAGAACTGTCTTCATCACTCCAGCTTCCAAATGATTTGTTCTTGTTGAAGCCTATGGAAACTTTTCTTTTAAGATCAGGACATTCAGCTTGAACATGCCCAAATATTCCACACTCATAGCATTTGCCATTATTTTTGTCTTGTTCGTTATATTTCCTGGTTCGTCTGGGTGGTATTCTTCCTCTTTTGCATTCCTGTATCTCCTCATTAAATCATCCATATTCCTTGATACCATGGCAATTTCTTCTTGAAGAGCTTCAGGGTCATCATCAATATCATTGTCTGCTTTTTCAATTGTGGCCTTGAATGCATCTGTTTTCTTCTTTTCTTCCTGGTTTGTTTTCTTGAGATGAGTTTTCTCGAAGGCTATGAGTTCTCCTCGAAGTTCATCGTATGATAGTTTGTTAAAATCATGTGATTCAAGTCTAACCACTTTTATCTGCCAGGTGGTAGGTAGACTTCTAACAATTTTCCTAACTTGATCACCACTTGAGTATGATTTGCCAAAAGCTTTTAGATCGCTAATGATTTTGCTAAATCTAGCAAACATATCTTCAATGGATTCTCCTTCTTTCATCTAGAAGATTTTGTAGTCATGAACCAACATGTTGATATGGGTTTCTTTCACTTTACTGGTTCCTTCATATGTGACTTTTGTTAGATCTAATTTTAATGATGCAAATAATATATCTGTGCAGGAAATCAATTAGAGAAGATCAAGGAATCAAGGAGCTACTACGAGATTGCTGAAGTAAATCTGGATGCTTAAGGAAAGAAATCAATCAGCAAAGATTACGAAATCATGGACAATTGCGATGGAAAGAATCAAGCAAGCCTAAACTTAAGGCATCAATTAAGGCCAGCACATTCAATCCGGAAGATTGAAGCAGTCAAAAAGCATCGAAGATTCTGTAAGAAGATTAGCTGAGCTACTAATTTCGGAAGGACCAACAATCAAGGAGTAAACCCTCATCATCGACAACTATAGAAGGAAAGCTGTCAATTTCCTCTCATCAAGGAAGAGCAACGCCAAGCAATCTTATTCGTGGAAAGAATCAATCTCTTTCCAAGGATCAAATCTCTTGGGTTGTCAAGTCTCATCAGCAAACGACCTTCACCAAAGTATTTATACTCAGCATCAAGCCTTAGACAAAATATACTTTGATCGAACCAAAAATACTCTCTTTGTTCTACAGCAAACAAACATTGTAGTTCTCTAAGACATGTTGTGTAACAAGTCAGAGAAAAAAAAAGAGAACAACACTGGTGAGGCATTGTATCAAAAGAGACGAGTGGTATAGGAATTGAGCTATCACGTCATCTCCATTGTACTCGAAGAAACGCATTTACTAAAGAGAACTCCCTTGCAATCCTAGGGGACTGGACTAGGATTCACATTGAATCCGAACCTGTATAAAATTCCGGTGTCTTTAATTCCTGCACTTACTTTCTGTGTTTTATATTCTGCTATTATAACTGTTAGGTTATTGCATCTAGTCGGCTAATTGAAAAACCAGTCAACTAATAGAGATTAAGATTAAAAATATACAATTCACCCCCTCTTGTACTTTCAACTTTAAGTTTATCCCACATCTCTTTGGTTGTATCGCAATTGGAGATTTTCTCATATTTCCCACCACTTATAGCATTATAAAGCGAATTCCTTGCCTTATTATTAACTTGCACAACTGCCATTTGCTCATCTGTATATTCATCTATATCTTCAGGATCAACAGGTGGTTGAGCAGCAGCCGACAGAGGGTAGTTCCCTTTTTTGATAACTCTCCAGACTTTGACATCATAAGCCTTTGCGCATATTTCTATACGTACTTTCCAGTGAGAGAAATGTTGTCCATTGAAATACGGTGGCCTCACTTACGATGTTCCTTCTTGGAAGAGTACTCCGATAATAACTTAATTCACCAAGATCTTTTCTTACAAGCTGTTAAGCAAAAGAAAAATGTGAGCCTTGCTCTGATACCAATTGAAAGTACAAAGGGGGGAATGGGTGAATTGCTTTATTTTTAAAATTAATCGTTATAAGTTGACTAGTTTTTCAATCAGTCGACTAGATGTAATAGCGAGATATCAAAAGGTGCAGAACTAAAATGCAAAAGTAAAGTGCAGGAATTAAAGACACCAGAGTTTTTATACTGGTTCAGATTCAATATGAATCCTAGTCCAATCCCCTTGGGTTGCAAGGGATTTCTCTTTCAGTGATTGAGTTTCTTGAATACAAAGTGAATGGTGTAGCTTAACCCAACAGCTCAGTTTCTATGTCACTCGTCTTTTCTTGATACAACGCCTCACCAATATTTTTCTATCTTTCTTTTCTAACTTGTTACACAGCAAATCTAGTAGAGTTACAATGTTGTTTGCAGTAGAACAACAAGAGTGTAATTGGTTTGATCAAAGTATATATCTCTAAGTCCCAAGGTTGCGTATAAATACTTTGTAGGAGACCGTTACTGAAGAGATATGCCAACCCAAGAGATTTGATCCTTGGAAAGAATCAATTTCTTTCCAAGAATAAGGTTAATTCCCGTTACTCTTCCTTGATGTGGTGGACTTTGATAGCTTTCCATCTTCAGGCATTAATAGCGCCGGATTGGATCCTTCCATCTTCAATGCTTCGTTTCCTTTTTAACTCTTCAGGCAATCTCTGATTGATTTTCTTGTCGGATTCTTAGTGCTTCTTTTCCTTTAAGATGCTTCAATCAATCTTTGATTGATTTCTCCCTTCAGCTTCGATATTTCTCGTTATGCACTTCGATCTTTTGAGTCCCTACACCAAAAGCAATTATATTATTTTTCATCATTAAAACTAAAACCTAACAATATTTATAGGGCAAAGTTCTTGGTCCCAAGTAAAGAAAAAAGAATAAAAGAATAAAAGAAAATACTTTTATGTTTTGGCTCCAAGATAAAATATTTTGTCTCCAAGTTTGCTTTGCTCCAAAATTAACCATGGACAAATTTAGGCCATGTCTTACGATAAAATTGACGGTTGATTGTTGCTGCGCGAGAAGCAATATTCATGCTTCCACATAATCTTTTAATTCCACTTGCTCCATTACTTGCCAAAAATATCAGCTGTTATATTTGCTTCTCTACAAGAGTGGACAAAATTACACTATCTTCTTTACCTGGAGTAATTATCAGTCGTGAAAGACATAGGTAATTAGGTACCAACCACATCTTGTACTAATTAAACATTGAAATTATTTTGCCCGAACATTTGTTTCTCTTCCTTTCTTTTTTTGTTTTTTTTTTCGGGTATTGGTGGCTGATTGATTAATACTCATGGCTTGGTAGCGTGGGCCATTACGTCAGGCGGTGGTTTCGTCGTAACGGGTAATAGTATTACATGCTGGCGAATTGAAAAATCATACTAAGAGCGCGTTTGGACATAAGAAATTTTTTCTTTTTTTCAAAAAATTTTATTTTTTCGAAATCAATATTTGTTCATAAAATTTCTTATTATCACTTGAAGATGAATTCTGGAAATTTTCGAAAATTTGAAAAACTCCAAAAGCTATTTTTCAAAATTTTCATTCAAATCATTCACAAAAATTCAAAAACAACCCAAAATTATATTCATATTCAAGCACTACTATAAATTTCATATACCATTTTCATTTCAATTTTTCCCCCTATTTTGGTACAACTCATATGTCCAAACGTCCACTAACGAAAAATTTTATTTTGTGCTTCACACAACTGACACTAGTTGTGTGAGGCTTCTTTTTTGTCTCACAACTGTGTGGGTCCCAGAATTTTATGGACCCCAAATATGTAAGATATGAGTACACAAATATGTGAGATAAAAAGAGGTCTCACACAACTACAACTAGTGTAAGTGTGAGACACAAAATAAAATAACTCCCCACTAACCCGTAAGAGGTGATGCCCTTTTGGAACAGTCCGTAAAACAGTTACACTTATAAAAGCATAAATATCTGCAACAGTAGCACTAAATATCAACTGCCCCAGATAACAATGCAAGTTGTCTCGGTTAGCGCAACTTTTGTAGTTGGCAGCCTTCCCCTGTGCTTATATATACAGGACACAAGCCCATAATGCTCTCACCAATTACTTAAAAAAAAGAATTAACACTCTCTCTCCGATACACTCTGTTTCAGGCGGAAATTGAACTGAAAGATATCATCATTCATAAACTCCAAACAATTAGTTATCATGTCACGAGAAAACTTTGGTAGCGATGCCGATGGATTTTACGGCGAAATATCTCAAGCCGATGTCCACATCATCACCTCCAGCGGCCTCCGCATTCCGGCGCATTCCACCCTTCTGGTACGCACATATATATAAACTTGTCACTACTAGTAACTGTTTTGAATTGCTGGGAATTGAATTCCTGAAACAAAGATCCGATTCTTAAAACGTGAATCAAATGAATTTCCATTTTATGTTTTATAAGCTTCTTCTTTTTCAGTTTGAAAAGTACTGATATATCTTCGAAACATGATGGTAGGCTGCTGCGTCGACGGTTCTGGAGAGCATACTACTTCGGCCGCAAAAGCGGCGGAGCTCTGACAAAACCATTCGGATTCTGGGCGTTCCGTGCGATGCCGTTTCCGTGTTCATCCGGTTTCTACATTCCTTCACGTAAGTTCTCAAAATACACACAAATAAAAAAAAAACACGCAAATCGGTTTGTTTTCTTTATTTATATATTCTGGTATAGTTAATCTCGTACATACTTCAAATCTGATTGACTCCGTCCAAGTTGGAGTTAAATATACTGACTTTTGACAATGAGAGTAGATTGTTTTATGCTTAAGTATTAGTTCCTTCATTGATTAGAAAATGGGTGATTGGTATTCAATGCTAATCTGGCTGCCATTTGTTAAATGCCTTGCGAGGCTCAATCATTGACTCTTAGATTCTCTAATCGCATATCTTTTGTTTTCCTTCAAACTCTAGTCGGCGTCGGGTAGATGCCTAGGCCAACTTAATTATGTAAAAAGAAATTAATTTTACGAATAAAAACTACAATGTTTTAAGCTGTATAAACTGATAATGTAAATAATTTTTGTACCATCAATTTCGTTTGACCAATTATAATTAGTTTCTTTTACCTTATTTTCCAAATTATCGTTTCATGTTTCTTACTGAATGGTGTAAAGTGGTTTAAGCGTTACTCCCTCTGTTTCAATTTAAATGACACACTTTCCTTATTAGTTCGTTCCAAAAAGAATGACATATTTTTACAATTGGAAATAATTCAATTTTAAACTTTTCATTTTACCCATTTTACCCTCAATAAGAAGTTTTTATAACCACACAAATGTCATGGCCCCACAAAGCTTTTACCCCTTAAGCTTTTAAGACCACAAGTTTCAAAAGTTTTTTTTTTCTTAAACTCTGTGCCGAGTATTACCGATCGAAAGGGTCAGAGTCTAATATGACCAAGTTGTCCTTGTATTTAGGTGCACTGAAGAGCAGATGGAGAGACACGAGATTCATCTGCTAGCACTTTCTCATGTGTACTTGGTGCCACAGCTAAAGCAGAGATGCACAAAAGGGTTGGCTGAGAGATTGACGATTGAAAATGCAGTAGATGTGCTTCAACTTGCAAGGCTATGTGATGCACCAGATCTCTACCTCAAGTCCATGAAATTTTTGTCAAGCAATTTCAAGAAAGTTGAGGAGACTGAGGGCTGGAAGTTCCTTCAAGATCATGACCCCTTTCTTGAACTTGAAATTTTACAGTTCATGGATGAGGCTGAGTTGGTATGTAATTATAACCTGATATAATTAATATATATCCCTTTATGTAGCTCATTGAGAATTGCATGTAATTTCAAATACAATCCAAAATATAATCTTGCATGGAATTCATAACAATGTTGAAGTTTTTCAATTAATCATGAAACATGAAAGGTTTGTCATGAAATCATTACATGGCATCTGTTTGCATCTTTTTTATCAGTCAAGTGGCTTAGTTTAGTGATTTTTCATTGTAAATTTGTCATTATAGCGGAAGAAAAGGACGAGAAGACACCGGAAGGAGCTGAATTTGTATTTACAGCTCAGCGAAGCCATGGATTGTTTGGAGCATATTTGTACAGAAGGATGTACTAGCGTTGGGCCACATAATAAGGAATCTTTCCACAAAAGGCAGCCATGTAGCAAGTTTGAGACCTGTCAAGGGCTCCAGCTTCTGATCCGTCATTTCGCTACTTGTAAGAAAAGGGCCAATGGAAGTTGTTTGCGATGCAAGCGCATGTGGCAGCTCCTAAGATTACATGCGTCCATTTGTGACCATCCAGAAGATTGCCGAGTTCCCCTTTGCAGGTAACCACCAGTGGCAGACACCTTATGTCAAGGTCGCCCGAAAATTATACTGTTTAGCAAGGTCAAAAATATATATATATATATATATATATATATGTGTGTGTGTGTGTGTGTGTGTGTGTGTGTGTGTGTTAAATTCCCTTGCTTTCTTCGTATGTTTACTTTTATATCTCGGAGAAATTCTTAGCTACACCACTGGTAACTGACTACTGAGTAACTAGTTGTTTATTAATCTATTGTTGTACTGATCACTTAAGGTGAATCTCATTAATCATAGTAGTAACTAAAATATATAAATCATTTTAGAAGTATCACTGATCGAAGCAGGTAGCTGCCTTGCTGGTTTGATGGATCCCGATCCATATACCATATGGTCTGTTATGTTCAACCTTGAAAATTTTTTAGGTGACATGTCAGAGCTTGATGTTATTAGTTGATTTGTCTCTATAGAAAAACGCAACGAATCAGCTGTCACTAATTTGTCCATTTCTTCTCTAATTCATGAGTCAAGTTAACATCAGTTTGTTTGATATTTTCAGTTTCTATGGGTCTTTTAGTTTTGAAGTAGAAAGTCATTAAAATTCTCATGAGCTGGCATGTGATTTTGCTTACTTTATTGCGAAGATGAGTCTACTTATGAAGATTTTTTCCCCAACGTCTACTGTGATTCTAAGTGCCAAGTGGGTTGTTCTTGATGTGAATGCGACCTATCCAAGTAGTGGTAATGATTCACGGTCCCATTTCAACTATAACGGCCATGGTGCACCTATCCTAGAAGGAAGCAAAACTTAAGAGAGCAGTCGGACCCCTGACCTTTCGTAACATGTTAGTTTGGATCCTATTTACTAATTGTTACGTGTCCATTTGTCCTGTTCCTCAACAAAATATCTTGAATGAGTTCCAAATATTTTAACATGTTGGATTGAATAAGGTTAATAGGACCAGATAACATAAGTATCAGCTTTAGATAACTTTGTTTGCCTGCTTTATTAGTAAGATGAATTTCTTGAACTGATACAGCGATCATTCATTTTTTTGTGTTTATGTAGTTGGTAAGTGTTGAGTATCTTAACAGCTCTATTATATACATTCAGGCAATTCAAAGTGAAGGTGCAACAAAGGGGAGATGATGAGTTGTGGAAATCACTTGTTAGAAAGGTGGTGTCAGCCAGAGCTATGTCTTCGTTATCTCTGCCTAAAAGAAAGAGAGAAGAAGAACCAAGAATGTACTTAAGCCATCATCAAGTGATAAACTTTAGCTTGGCAGCTTAGCGTCATTAGGTAGAAAGTTCTTTAATTACTTCTCAGAACAGAGAAGTTACCTTTAGCTAAAACCAATCTCTGTAAATGGACAATCAATAGAATGGCAGTTTTTACCATTTCAAATGTCCTTCTGTAGAGGCCCTTTTTTGGAGAGTCACTCTTAGCTAGACGAATTCTTAGTATATGAGGGGGTCAACAGAAGATTTGTATACAAAAAGAATAATGGGAATGCATCTTCATTTTGTTTAATGAGTTAGCTTTTAGTCATACGTTTCAATTTTGTGTTTATATTGTTGTCTAACATTTCATCCTGCCCCAAGGACAAAATCCAGAAGGAAGAAGACACTGTTGCCATTTTCTGCACGTTGCATTACTCTGGAGGAATTCTGGCAACCACATGCCGTTGATTGGCATTGTGTTGCACTTAAAATCGGATAACCATAAATGAAAAGGGCAACAAAATGTGGTCGGCTAAATTTGCAAGTTCGCTTTGTTAGGGGTATTTGATTTATCCAAATAGTAGTTAAATATGTAAATGCCTCATCTTTGCTGTTGAAACGCGAAGCTTTATGCAATATCTAGTAAAAGTTAGAGGGTGTCAATTTACACTAGTCAATTCTGTGCAAGTATTGTACATATCATCCGCACTGATTAGTGGAAAAAAAATTGGAGCATGATAGGGTCGGGAGATATTTGATACCTCAGAGACCTCATTCCAATTGGGAAGAGAAACTTTCGAAATAGAAGTGGAGATTTGTCCAAGTGCCCGTTAAATGCTCACAAAGTAACTTAAAACCCTGAAATTTATGGAAAACTAAAAGGGTTTCAACAGCATTATTGTGTTGAGATTCCGTGGGGTATACAATTTATGTCCATTTGCATGTTTTGCCTGGTACATGAGGACAAAATCATACTCGGACATGGTGCATGCACCAAATCATATTACTTTACTATGGTTAAATAATAAACTGAAATAAGAACACAAATCAATAACTATGGTCAAGTGATAAAACCTTACATAAAAGGCACATGTCATGACCGTATACGGTCAAATTCGGGCTTGCCCTTTCCGTGTGACTGATCGAGACTGGAGCGCGATAAGCCAAGGATCAACCTTGTGTTATATTGAACTATGGTGCAAAGTTAGGTTGCCGAGCTCGAGGCCCTAAGACCAATGACCAAGATTGAAACCGAATAAGATGGAGATCAAGGGAAGCTTACCGAGTCGAATAACGGAAAGACGAAATATCCCCAATCGGACGAGGGTCACGGCGTGAATCCCGACACGTGTCAGGAAGAGGCCGATTAATTAGCCAATCATGGGATTGCTTACTTCGTATAGAATTGTACTTAGAGTAGGACTCCCCTACTATACAAAGGGGAGTCTGATCATTTGTAAATGCATCATATTCACGCAATACAAAGCAATATACCGTCGTTCTCTAGTTATCTTTGTCTTGATTTTCTGTTCTTAAGTCATTTGATACATATTTGGTTCAAGGGTGACCGAACTCGAGGGCCAAGGCTGTACAGTTTGTGTGGTTTGCATTTATTCTTGGGGTTTTGACACAGTTACCCACAAAAACAAAACTATTTACCCTTGTCTACCCATTTGTTTTTCTACCCATAAACTAATTACATTTCCTACCCATAGTAGTTTTTGTAGGGGATTTTTTCTTTATTCTCCAATTCTTTTTTATTTCTATGCTTCTTTTCTTCTTTTTTTTCTTTTTTTTCTTTTCTGCTTTTCTTTTTTCTCGTTTTCTTCTTATTTTTTTCTTTTTTCCTTTTCTAATTTCATTTAACTTTTTTTTTGTATATTCTTTTTCTCTTCATAATCTAATTTCATTTACCGTTTTCACTATTTTTTATTATTCTTTTTTTATACAATAAGAAAAATAATTGATATAGTAAATATTTGTTCACCTTTTTTTGATATAACTAGTACAATACACCTTTTATTTTATTTTTCTTTCTCATTTTTTAAATTCAATTATTAAACTGAAATAATATCAGTTGTCACTTGATCTAATACACTGAATATCACATTGACTACTGTTGAGCACCATAAATTACATAATCAGATTCTAAGAATCAACACATGATTGTCATGCAAATCTTGATCTCCTTCCCTATAAATATCAATACACACTCTACCATTAGCAGTAATACAACCAGTTATAGAGCAAGAAAACATAATCTACGACAACCAAATTTCCATATATACTAGTTAGAATAAAAATGATAATAAAATATTAAAAAATAGAACAAAAGTATAAGTAGCGAAAAAGACTTCTAGTACCATGTGATACCAATATGGTATATATGTATACCAACAGAGCATATGATTTCTCTAGAATATTGCAAAACTATCTGCGACTATACTACTCTACCAAAATATTAAAGGACGCAATAAAAGTATGAGAAAATTACATGCTCGTATTGCAAGCTAAATATTCGCAAAACAACTTTCTCATTTCGTATACTAAGAGGGTATATAGTTGTATGAGGTCGTTCCAACAATTGCCTATAACTATAAAAACTATTAATACACATAATTTATGTCCATCGGCACACAAAATTCCAGCATTATTGCAACTCATGTTGATATAAATAATTTCATAATAGAATTCACTTAAAATGCAGCTAAAACAACCAAAATAATGTTCAAACTACCATATGATACCAATATGGCATATAACTATACCAACATGGTATACAGTTTTACTAGTTAATTTCCGGCAACTATATGACTATACTACTATTACATAACACACATGCATAAAGAGAAAAATAAAAAAATAGTGTACCACATATTAATATAATAAGGTATTTCAAGATATTGTACTATATTACTATTATTAAAAGAAAATCAAATATTGTACCAATTAACTAATACAACCAAAAAATAATTCAACTAGCATATGATATCAATATAGTATATAGCTATACTAATAGGGTATATATTTGGAATGTATTGTATACTAAAATGGTATATTTGTATACTATTTGGGTACAATACAAATTCGTCTTCTTCTCTGGTTAAACTATATTTCAACCCAAATTTCTAAAATTTACTACAAAATCTCCACCAAATTGACTAAAACTTTAGCTACAACCTCCAATCAACTTTCCAAACTAACCCATACAGGATCGGATCAAAACAATTAAAAACTCAAACAAACCAAGTTATGAGTTTCAAGCTTCAAGGTCCGTCAATGGTGGATTTAAATTTTTGTACAATAAATCTCCAAAAACCAGCATCAAAGGTAAAATTTACACATCAAAGAACAATATTAGCTACATTTAATTGGAGACCAATGGAGTAGTGCTGGATCAGTTTGATTCTTGCAGTGCTGGATCGATTTGATTCAGCACACCTGCTTATAATAACACACCTGCTTACTATTTTTTTTCCCTGTATGCTAACACGCAAAAGTAATACAAGATGGAATTATCTCCTAATGAAACTGCAATTTCGCTAATTTGTCCTTCAACGAGTACAAAATATAAGCACCAGGCAAGTATAGAAAAACTGCACTTATTACAAAAGAATATCCCATGTCCACCACTCTATATTAAAAGGTAAAGACGACACTAAAAATCTGTATTAAAAAGGAAGAAAAAAACGAATAGCTAACAACTCCAAAGAATCTAATGTGGGCGAGTAAAAAGTATTGATTGCATAGGTAGGAAAAGTAAATAGTTTAGGTATGGGTATTTAAGGGTAAATAGTTTGAATTTAATGGGTATAAAGTGAGATTTTCCCTTTATTATTCTTTAATTGTCTATTTCAATACTATTTTATTCTTCTCAATTTGTACCAATATTATATCACGTGTCCTTAAAATCACGTATAAATTCAATTGTTATCCGATTTTAGGGTAAACGATGACACTTATTAATTTAGTTTATGTACCAGATAATTATCTTTGGCCTTACATTTTATTTTTGGGGGGTCTTGGTGAATAGTTTTTACCATCAGTCAGGTCTGACTAGAACATCAAAGGGCCATTCCAATATAAGATAGTAGAGAGGAGACTAGATTTGCAATATGGAATGTTTATGTAGTTCTTGATGTTCTTTGGTTGATATTTTTGATGCAACGTCTCGTATTCCCATTATATTGCTTTCTCTAATCTAGTAATTAATAAAAGGGATAGGGATGCATGCACCATTTGCCACCATATTTGAACACGTCCAAAAAAATTCTCTCTCTATCAATTGATGGAATGGAAAACTAGACAACCCTTTGATTTTTTCTTCCATCTAATCCTGGATATGGGGCACTTGGTACTCGACTACCCAACTTCAGTGCACTAGTGATACACCATTTATTGCTTGAAGTCCTTCATTTAATTCTACACATTTTATTATTGTGCCCCATTTTTTTTTCTATAAGCAGGGATCTATTATATAAAAATCATAAAATAGAGTTTACATAGTTAGCATTGCTCAAAGGGATATTACCTACTGGCTATTACATAACATACTAATGTCACGCAGGACATTTTTATTTCTAAGAGATGCAAACTTAGTGCATGCATCCTTGCTAATGTTTTTAACTAGGTAGATAGAACCTTCATAGTCGGAGAATATGACAGCGGTTACAAAAGATGGCGGGTAGTGCATAATTTCGAGATCCCTGCCACTGTTTACACAGAGAGCATGCTTAGCTAGCTTGTGTGCTGGTTTGTTGGCCTCTCTGAAGTTGTGCTCGATTGTTTGAACTCTCACCTGGTTCATCAATAACCTGCATTCATGAATAATGTTGTTAAGGGATGTATTACCATTCTCTAAGCAGTTATTGACATCCGTAGAGTCTGATTCCACTTCTAAATTAGTGAAACCTTGTTACATTGCAAGATGTAGGCCCGTCTTTAGTGCCAGCAACTCAGCATGCAAGGGTCATAGGCCAGGTAGAGACCCTTGGAACCTAAACACCTATTTTCTATTATTATCTCTGAATAAGCCACCAAAGCCACAGCTAGATGTTTCTTCTTTAAATGACCCATTGGTGTTAAGCTTCAAATGGTTACAAGTAGGTTGAAGCCATTTTACTGAGATGAGAATTTTTTGTTGTGGCATAGTTTCCTTTTTAGTGAGGAGTTTATATTCCACTGCATGCTTGTAAGCATACTTGATGTTTTAGACATCAATACCACACAAGAGGGGGGTGATTTGTGTGGTACCTAATTTTCGCACTAGAAGAACCTGGTTCTTCTAGGTGTTCTAACTTCTACTGTTTGCGAAATTAAAATACAGAAATAA